ACTACTTCCATCTTCCCCCAAGAAAAAAAAATAGGAGGTACTCTAAGAGATGAAACTGTCAAACCTGCATAACAAGTATTACTACTGTAATACATAGGTAATTCTGAGGGTTGCCTTGTTTCAAATATCCGCCCTCAACATTAAAGGGCAGAGTGGATGAGATAATCTGCAGGTCTTGGGAGTTGAACATAAATCTTCCGTATTCTTTCTGTTGAAAGTGCTGCTTGCTAAGGCTACATATACTTCAGAACTGATTTGAAAGAAGGGGTTTGGTCCTTTCTTTGCACAGAATCATTTGATATTCATTAAAGTAGCCAGTTCTTTTTCAGAATGCTACTTACAGAGCTGTGTTAACTTTAATGAATGGAATTCATAAAGCAATGGAAGCCTGAAAAAATGAATTTAATGAATAGCAGAGAGCTACTTTTTCTTTTCTTCAAAGAAAAACAAGTCCAGTTGCCTCTTGAAAAAAGCAGCTTTGGAACAACCATGACCTGGATGACTGAGAATCTCCATAGACCCAGAGCTGCTAGATTCATGCAAGTCCAAAATGCTTCTTTCAAATCACTTCCAAAGTATGACCCTAGTGCTTATGTTATTAAGATAATCTTCAGTTTAGTTGTAATGTGTAGGCTTCAATTCTTTAGGTATGGAGAGTGCACCACTCATATTTTGAGATCAGATTGTCTTTTACAGATGATATATATATATATATTGTGGCAATGGAATCAGTATTATCCTAATTTAAGTTTCAGTGTTATAGCCAAAGACAGAAAGTTATCGTTGAGTGCTTGGCAATTTGTAACCTGGGAAATATTTAATTTTTCTTTTTACTGATTAATATAGTTTCCAGAATACATTCCTCCTCATTCTCAACCTTCCTGCTCCATGTGTTGATGAACATCTACACAGACATTATGCGGTTAGATGCAGTGTTTCTCAACCTTGACAACTTTAAGGCATGTGGACTTCAACTCCCAGAATTCCACAGCCAGCAATGCTGGCTGTGGAATTCTGGGAATTGAAGTCCACATGCCTTAAAGTTGTCAAGGTTGAGAAACACTGGGTTAGAGACTTTGTTATGGGGCCCATTGTTCTCCATCTTTGCTCCCTTTTTCTTTTTGTCCTTTAGCCTGCTGTTGATTTAGAACAGGAAAGCAAATCACATCCGAGGCAAGAATTAGAAGAATCCAGTATCTCTTGCATTCCCACTTATCTAATATATTATTTTAAAAAATTGCAAAAATATTTTATTTTCTTAAATTGTTATGAGGTTGAATATTGTATGTAGCTTTAAGCAACTATCCCTGTGACAGTAAGATGCCATTTTGTGTTTTTTTTTTCACTTTCATGTCTTTTATTTCCTACAGAGCAATGATGAATTGGGTTTTTTTTTTCTTTGAAATATGTAAAAAGGATTTAAGCCTATTTCACGATAAGGCTAATAATATAACAAATTGCCACTGCCATCAATGCAAGTGGAAAGCCAAGGATAGCAGTTGATGGTCTCAAGCTGAGGAGCCCAAGTCTGCTCATCCTGTAATATAGGTGCCAAACCAATCAGTAGGAATTGCAATTTTGACCAGCTAGCTGAATAATAAAAGTAATTGTCTTCACTTGGCACTGCTGACCTCCCAGGTTTGATGGAATACTTGGGACATTTGCCCAAGCTGAAATGTATAAGAGGGTTGGAGGAGAGAATTCTAATGGTCTGTAACCGTGTATAAAAGTTGTGAAATAAAATCGTCCGCAACCATGTGGCTCTTTTTAAATATACTGGATATGCTGAGGCTTTTTTAAATATTATCTTTATGAAGACAAAATACAATCAGATAATCTTGTAATTACCTTCTTGGTTTGCAACGCTTAAAGGTACTTAGAAGAATGTTGTCAAGTGAACTTTAAGCTTTATAATACTACAACCTTTATAATAGTTGTAGTCTTCGACTTACAACCATTTGAAGTTATATGACTATTTTTCACATGACCATTGCAGCATCCCCATGGTCATGTGATCAAAATTCAGACACTTATCAACTGATTAATAATTAGGATGGCTGCAGTGTCCCAGGGTCATGTGATCACCTTTTGTGACTTGGCAAGCAAAAGCAGTACTGAAGCCAGATTCACTTAACTGTGTTACTAACTTAACTGCAGTGATTCACTTAGCATCTGTGGCAAGAAAGTTTGTAAAAGGGGGCAAAACTCACCAAATATTTTGCTTAGCAACAGAAATTTTGGGGGCAAATTGTAATCATAAGCCGAGCATTACCTGTAATTAGAACATTTTGCATTTGAAAAAGTTCTAATAAAAACATTTATTGCACAAAAGTATGATACCCCCTATATGTCAAATTGCAACATAAAATTTTCTTTGAGCTATCCCAAATCATCCATGTGTCTAGGAAATCATCCTTGATATGACAATTGTATGCAAGTGGCGTTGTTATGACATAAAATGATCATCTTGCCCAAAATAGAAACAAGGAACTAAATAAGTACCTCCCACAATCAGCAATTTGCATGTAACATGCTTTCTGTACTATGATAGAATTAAATGTAAAAATATTTCTATAGTTTGATAAATTAAGGTAGAGGTAGGATGTATATATTGTAAATCAAAGAGAATTGTTCTGGATATTTTCTTGAGTTTTCCCAAATGTACTATATAGCAGGGCTTTTCAACCAGTGGTACGGGTACCACCTGTGGTACATTGCCACCTGGCAGGTGGTACGCGAACATCCTAGAAAAGGGGTAGCAGGGGAGGGGAATGAGCTGAACCGGTGGCAGCACCGCACAAGCCTGAGCGAGAGACGGCTGGAGCTGCAGGGCTGTCAGGGCTCAGCAGAAGCGCCAGGATCAGTGCCGCTTTCCAGCTGATCAGTGCTTCTTCGGGGCTGTCGGTTCAGCGGAAGAGCCAGGATCAGCGCCAGGCTCCAGCTGGAGCTCGGCGCTGATCCTGGTGCTTCTGCTGAGCCCAGAAGAAGCACCGATCAGCTGGAATGTCGCAGCATCTCCAGGGTCTTGTGATTTACATTCAGATGCTTGGCAACTGATTCATATTTATGACGGTCACAGTGTCCCAGGGTCATGTGAAGTGACCAAAACCTGCTGCAACCACCCAGCAGATGGGGGGGAATAAAAACCAAACACCCCCCACCCCACCCCTGCTGCCAATCCTCAACAGAAATGCTCACAACAATGAAAACCTTGGACAGGAAGAAGAGCGCCGCCGGGTGGGCAGGCAGGTGTCTTGCTTGGCTGTGGCTCGGGGGACATTTTTTTCAGTGCATTGTAACTTCAGTCACTAAGCGAATTGTTGTAAGTCGAGGACTACCTGTACTTTATCACTTTTTCCCCTTTTTTTTGGGTCATCAAGTTTTTGACACCTTGCTAGGTGACTGGTGGTACTCGGATGTTGCCATCTCCTAAAAGTGGTACAATGGGTGAAAAGGTTGAAAAGCCCTGCGATATAGGACAGGTGATAAAAAACAAGATTCTTTTTACCACCCATTATTAGAATGAAAGGCATGGAGAAAAGGACTTGACAACAAAACTCCTGCAGTGTGCTCTTAAAGTTCAGTTACTGTACCTTTCTGTCCTTCATTTCTGATTCTCATTCCCAAGGCTCTTCTTCATGAGTTCAAATTGTTCATCTGGCATTCCTCTTTTTTCCATAGAAATATTTTACAAACTTGTTCTGTATTCATTTTTGACACTCAACGTTAGCTATGTATGCTGTTACTAGCTGCTGCCTAAAAGGAACTCCTTGCGCCATGTGTCAAGCAAAACTAGGAACAACCAGCAGCTGGGTCTAAGTTTCTACTTCCTCATATCACTAAAATGCAATTATTTCACAAACTAATATGAATTATGTATTATTCTAGAAATACACTATAATGTTTGTAGTCAAATAAGTCAAATAAAAATATTTTATTCAAACATGAGATCTGAATAGTTCCTCTCTTTGAAAGGAAAAATTATCTGAGTAGCAAAAATGCCAATGAATTTATCTAGTTTGAAAAACTGTTTGACGGGAGTAAAGGGAGGGCTTAATGTCACAGTGAACCTGACATGCAGATTTGCAACTTTCTCATCATCATTGGATTCCTATCCCACTGTCCTAATATATAATCTTTGGCCTGGAACAAATTGCTTAATCAAGCTTTAGTAATTTCACATTATGAGGTTAATGCATAATTTTGGTGACACTTGAATTCCCTTATGTCTATGTATATACCCGGTGCAAAAAATCAGGACCATCTATTATACTGCAGCAGAGAAGAATTATTCAAGCCTATTACACAAGAGTTCGGTCAACTAAAGTTTAACACTAAATTGGCACCAGATAAGGGTCAATGGAATTCAGGAGGGGCTGGACTTGGACTGCTTGTAGGAATGCACTTAACTCTGCACCCCAGCTCTTCTACAGTATATGATAACAGGAGTTGGAAGCAAAAGATAAAGAGGCTAAGGTAGAACTAAAGTTTGGGATCCTGTTTCAAATTTATCATGAATATAAAAATTATTTAAATCCATCCACATTAATTCTCCCACAGTACTCAACAGAAGAGAATATATGTAGCTGTGGAGTTCTCTCAGCATTGGTGGCAACACTACCAATGTTTTCTCTTTGGTTATTCCTTGATTCAAAGGAAAAGTTCAAATCCAGGAACTACCAAGAAGAAAACCATACCTTCAACAACACTGGCAGGTAAGCTAATGTATATAAACAGAAAGCAAACTTGACACTCACTGGTAATCATGATATTACCTAGTCGGGTAATGAAGCATCTGCAAGAAAATAACCAAGTTCAGAAAGCACTAAGGATTCATCTATAGTGTAGAAGTATATAGATAGTAACAGCACATACAAAAATCAAAGCAGGAAGTTTTAAATTAACTAATTTTAAGATAAGTTCTTTAAGCAGCAGACAAGCTAAGGCTCTATTTAACTGTTCTGTAACACCAGGCTAAATCAATCCACGTTATCTTTACACCTTTTGCTGAAATCCAGTATGAACTGTTTCATATACCTTTACTAGCTCTTAAATAAGAGGCAAAAAAGAATTTGCAATCATTTTATTTTCCTTTAAAAGAAAGGGCAATGAGTGAATGAATGTTGAGTAATCTTTTACACTGGCTATTCACTATAGTATGATGATGCCCACTTACCCAAGCATATGTTATATAGTACCTAGATAGTCTCTCAAATACTCAAAATTTGTTTTAAAAGTTACAGAAATATAATTAAAACTGTTCAGCAACATACATAATAAACTGTAAATACATATGGTTACATAACCAGTTGAGTTTCTGAGTTTGTTTCAAAATAACTAACCTTAACAGGTCCTACTTCAACAAATAAAAATCTGGTCTGACCTTTTAAGCAAACAGGGTATTGCTTTTTTTTGTTAATGAAAAACATAGATACTGGTTTGTCTACCGACTGAATGTTTTTCCCCTTTCTGATCTTGAGCAATTTATTTCCTCTTTCTATATTCTATGAAAATGTCACTGTATTAAGGGGAACAAAGAATTACCAGATGAGAAATACTGGAAACCTTACAAATTGATTTAGCATTTTTTTGCTAGCAATATAGGTATCAGTATTATATGGACATGCAAACTTTAACATTTAGTTTAGCTATTTTTGTATTTCACTTGAATTCTTGGACTAACTAAACTAGATTTAAAACAGCTCAAGAAAAGCAGATCAAAAACAGAAAAACAAAAGTATCCCTTGGACATATGCTGTTTAGGATTTTATTTCTGGTAACAAACGTTTATAAACTTTTTAATGAACAAATATACTTTGGATTTTCCCTGATCCTGATCTTGAATGCATTTGTGCAGCCCCATTTTTGGTTTTAGCATATAGGGAGATGGGCTTCGTAGTCTGCCACGAATATATGTTACAGCAAATCTGGGGATGGCAATGGCATATTTCAAATGATAAAGTCTTAATGCACCACCAGAAAAAACCCAGAAATTTCAGAGGAAAAGCCAGTTCCTTATTATCTCTTCCCATTTTTAGTTCTGCCTCAAAAACCCAGCACTGGCCATCTCCTTCTCTACCTACAATATTAATTCTTTCATTCTGTTTTTGAACTTCACCATCACTTTTTTCAGCCATCAGTTCTCCAGTCACTCATCCAGTTAACTCCCTCAAAGAGCTGTGAATTTTATTACGAATTAAATCGATGGAAATGACAAAAGAATTACTCCAGAGGTCACTAGGAACTTTATTTTGAAGCAGTTATCTGGGAAGAATCAGGAAACAAAAGTAGAGGTACTCTTGGACATACCTATTTTGAGATTAATGTTCTCGTTTTGGTGCAAAAATTTTTTTTTTTTTACTGCTTTTAGGTACCTGTGTAAGAACACAGTAAGAATTTTTTTTCCCCACAAGCATTGCAGTCTTATTTTAAGAGGAACATTTGATTTGTGATTTTAAGGACTGGAAAAATAATAAGATTTGGCCTAATTTGGATCAGATACTATCTGGAAAATTTCGAAGGGGAAACTTCCAAAAGATCTCAGTAGTTGGTAGCATAGGCTTAATTAATAAACTTTAGGCACCTGCCCTTTACCAATACGCAGGGAACAAGTTGCACCTATTTCGTCTCCTATCGAGCCTCATCCTTTCTCGGGCTCGTAAAGGCCAGGACATCAAGTCCTTTTTGGTGACGCTGTTCTGCGAGGAAACCCCCCACGCCATGGCCGCTGCCTCCGTTTTTTCCTCAACAGCAGGGCCAGAAAAGCTGCTG